GAATGTAGCTATATTAAGAAACCATTGTGTTGGTTTATATAATATTACTCTAGAGAGACGGGGGGAGATAACTTCAATTGAGGTCAGAAGGAAGAGGCTGGTGAGGTTGGAATAAAACTCCTATATTGCATGCATGGTCTTTAAAAAAAAATACTGTTGTCTATAGGGCGTCAGTTTGTCTTCTCGCAAGATCAGTGGACTTCTTGTGTTTGGATTTGTGTGAATGCATACTTCCACCTTTCCCAAACTAGGGCCTTCCAGATCTGTTGAACTACAATTCCAACATTCCTCTGCCAACATGGATTTGGGGAGTTACAGTCCAACACAACCAGAAGTCCCCAGTTGTGGAGTGCTGGAACATTGCAAAGCAAGGTGACTCTTTTTAATGAGACCATGTTCAGTCTAACAGGACGGACCTTTATTTGACCATACTTGAGTGTCTTGTTCCTAAGCACATTTTTAGCACTTGCCTGTAGTTGTAATCCTGCTTAGAAAGCAATCAAACCAGAATGGCTTTCAGTACTGAGATCTTGGAGGCCATGTCAACACCACTGTTTTTGTCTATTGAAACTCTATTCTTTTCAATGGCAGGCTAAAACCTTTTTATTTTCCCAATATTTTAAGGTTTGATTGTCATTTTAATATGGGTTTTATTGCTAGAAATTAATTAGGATGCTGTGTTTTATTTTGCTCTATTCTGTCTACTGTCAAACCATCCCAAGACTTTGGTAATGGACAAAAGTCTTAAATAAATAGAATGAATAAATATTGTTACAAAACTGTAAATATGTTTCTGTGGTAGTCCTTTTGCTCTGCAGGGCAGGGTTCTGCTTTTGAATGTTTAACATATTCTGCTACCTCCAGCTATTTATCTGTCTATTGGCACAGCAGATCATAATAATAAAGTTTAAAACTTGAAATGTAGGAAGAGAAAGCTAAAGCTGCTCGCTGGGTAGTCTGGCTTTAGGCAATTAAGCTGAGTTTTCAGCGGAATTTTTCCTATTACCGAAGCCCAGTGGAAGTGCCTTTTGAAGATTCCAAGGGGAAGGGAAAGCTGTGGCAGTGTTCAGTGTGACAAATACAAGTATGTTGTCCTAGCTTAGCAATTTTCAGTGCAGCAGCAATGGCATTTCCAGCATGGCAGATATGCTGGGGAAACGCATCAGACCAGCAAGTGCTGTTGCCATTTCACTAAAGCTCATATATGCTAGCGCAGCATAATTTACATTAGTGTCACACTGATACCTCCCTTTGTTTAAACTGTGGGAGAATTATGATTCAGCAAAGCATAGCTTTGCACAGCAAACCCTGATGTTACTGCAGCCAAGGGCATATGGGCAGCATGCACACATCTTTAACATTCATGTGCATGTGTCTGAGAGTCCAGAATGTCTGTGTGCATAAATGCAGGTACTAAACCACAAGTGTGCAACCCATTCCACTCCAAGATTTTTGGACTACAAGTTCTCTAGTCCCTAACCTTTGGTTGTGCTGGCGTGAGTTTACGGGTGTTACAATCCAATACATCTGCAGAGCACCAGGTTGCCTCCTCCAGCTTTAGATACAAGTATTTTGTTGGCATTTCTCATGCTGTATAAGGATTGGAGCAATCATAATCTCAACTGTTTGTTGGGAAGAGAGCTTGTTTTTTCATGCCATGTAAACCTAAAATGGACAGCCATCTGAGTGGGATAGTGTGCATTGGTGTCCTGCAACAGCAGGGGGTTGGACCTGATGGCCTACGTGGCCCCTTCCAACTCTCCTATTCTATGATTCTATGAAAATGCATTCCTAGCCAATTGTGCCTTCTTGATAACTTGTATAAAGAAATGGTAAGCATCTTCTCCAGTATGGGGATGAGACAATGAAGAATTGGGTATGATCATGTTGGTGTGAGGTAGCAAGGAATCGTGGTGAAGGTGCCTTCTCTAATTTGGGTGTTGGGCACCAACAGTTTGGGAGGCAGAAATGCCTTCTGCTGTATCAGTGTCAGTCAACAGCCATTTAGGGGGTGGCTGTACAAACAACAGCTGTCTTTGGAGGGACCATGCTTAATAAAGTTTAAAAGTATGGCTGGCCAGCCAGTTTGGAGGTTGGAGTCAGTTCTGGGGTAAATAACACTTCTCTTACATGTAATATTTTTAGTTCTATTAATGACAATTGCAATTAAACTGGGAATTAGAATGTTTGCGTTCTTATGTGTGTATTATCTTAAGCTTATATGATATTGGTAGGTGATATCCGTGCTAGAATAAAAAAGAGAACTGGTCAGTAAATAAATGCTGCAGGCATGTAGGTTGACCTAACAGCCTCTGAGCATTGACTTCCTTTGTGGTTTCTGTTCTCTACCTCTTAACCCACATGCAGTAAAGCTCAGCTTATGTGCATGATGTTAGCTGATCTCCGGCTTCTCTGGAACAGGAACACTAGGAAAGTTTCCACTCGTAAGCAATTGAGTGCAGTCCCTAGCTCAAGAAACCAGGGCAAGGATAGAGGAGTTAGAGGAATGTGTTTCTTGCAATGTCTTCTTGCATGCTTCTGTTTTATCATTTGTAAAAACTTTAGTGTGAATTTGTAAATCACTGTCTTGGCAGAAGGGAGGCCTAGGAATGCTTTTGTCTGCGATTTTTGGCTCTTTATTTTTGCTGTCTTTCTGATTTTTGTTGCAGAGATCCTTAAAAGTTTAGAATATATTTTAAGAGGACTTTTATCTTGCATTACATTATCATTTCTATAGCACCTTCTCAGTGTGCAAAGTTCTTTTGCAATTAGTATCTTTCTCCACACAGTTCACCTTTTTGCAATGGTGTGCAGATTTCCTGGGTTGCCTAAAGCCGTTCTTACAGTTTGGCACCGTGCTAATCCAAAATCGATGCTAAAGAAAGCTAGGATCCACACTGTGTCAAAACTATGCTTATTTGTAGTTGCTTATCTTTAGTGAGGATAAGATTTCTGCATTTGCCCCTTGTAGGAGGACGCAAAATGTTCAACAGTGCGCTGCATAATGCTGTGAAAGCAGTGGAAGTTTCAGTTGCTGGGTGCTCTGGGCAGCACTTCTCCATCGCTCTCCCTGAAGACCTGCTAGCATTAAAAATGTCTTCTTTGCCTAGTCACCACCTGCTTCTCTGCTGCGGCCTGATGCTGCTGCTCTACTGGAAGACATACATGGGCATTCCCAATTTATACTGAATTTAAATGTATACTAGCAGTTCAGACTGAAAGGGAATGCAGAAAGGGTCACTGCTGCTTTAAATTATTCCTTGGGTGTCCCAAACCCAACAGTTTGTCCATTATGTGCCACTGATGTGCTTTGCTGCTCATATGCTAAATATAACTAGTATTCTTGGTTCTTGTTTATCAGCAGCTTTCATTAGTGCAAGTAACTGGAGACTATTGGGGTGATAGCTGTTCATATTGCAAATGTAGCATTTTAAGAGAAAATGGTAAATTTTTGAAAATTAGCTAGTTGGACACAAATTAGTCTAAAATATTTTTTGCCTTGGCATTGGGGTTTTGGTTTTAAAACGTTAATAGTCTTTTTTATGGAAAGTTTTATGTAAATTGTGTGTGTGTTTTAAAGGTGGAAAGGCATCGGTTTTATTATGATTCTACCATCTCACCTCGTTCTGTTTGCAACTACTCCAGTTCAGGCATTGGCACTACCAAAAAGCACCAGTTCTTTGCTGGAACTCCACACATAGAAGCAATGCCATTCCATGCTTTTTATTCCCAATCTTCACCTAGACATGTGGAATCTATGCACATTAGCACTGTGTGGCTACCAAGGGATATTTTGGCTGAGGTCTGCATAGGATCCGCCTCCTTTCTCCAGTCAGGGCACAGTTCTTTCCAAGCAATAGTAATACATCCAGGATTTTCCCTGTACTTGTTGGGCCCTAATGGGTGAACCTACCATTTCCTTCTGCCCACTCTGTAAATCAGCCTTGGGGAACACCCAGCCTGTGGGCCTAATCTGTGCTGTGAGGCTATTCCTTTAAGGACCGCCCGCTTTCTCAAACCATGTCCTCTCATCTTTTGCTCTGATATTTTCCTGTCTCCTCCTGGATATTGTAAGGCAGGGGTGAGAGAAGGTTGATCTCCAGATACTTTGGACTCTGTCTCCTGCAACCCCTTTCCAGTGTGGCCAATAGTCAGGACCACTGTGAATTGAACTCCAAAACATCTGGAGCGCTCTGTCTGCTCACCTCTGATGCATGGTTGCTCCCTGTACTTTCTCAACACTGGCTTGTGACTCTGGGACCTTTGAAACACTTGTTTAAACATTAACACTTCTTTGTGGAGCCACACTTTTACAGAAGGCTTGAGCAATGCTGCGGCGGAAGCATGACATCTGAACTGACCTTTGGCATGTTCCACTCTTGTCTAACGTAAACAACGCACCATCCGTTTGGAATATCACTCTAACTGTTTCTGAAGTGAGTGGGAGGGAAGGATCCAAGGATGTCCATGTTTATTGTGTTTATTTATGTTTATTATTGTTTGTGTTTATTTATGTTTATTATTTACCAGCAGAAAGCTGCTGGTAAATTACAATTGTGCAATGCCAATAGCTGCCACTATTTATGTTGCTCAAGCAGTCGCTTCTGCTAGCAGAAGCTCACTGACACCAGTGTATGGCTACCACTGGATTGCCCCCAAGTCTGTATAAGAGCATTGAAGGATTCACTTCATTTGCACTTTCACGGAGAAATTTTCTGGTAGACTGAACTTGGTGTGAACATGTGCTGTCTCTAACATTCATTGCCCCTTCCTTTGTCTTCTGTTGGCAGTGGTGGAAGGAAATTCTTACACAATTCATGGTGCCTCTCTCTCTCTCGCGCGCGCACTCTCTCTCTCGTTCTCTCTCTTTCTCCCTCTCACTCTCCCACCATGTTTTTGCATTTTTGTGTCTGCATTTTAACCATGTTTTGCATTGCACATGTCTGCATTTTCTGTTCATTTTGTTCACAAATGCTTTTTGTTTCTGTTATGTTATGTAGTCTTATACCAGTGGCTAGAAGCCGATCGTCATGGCAAGAGCTCAGATACTGCAAACAGAACATCAGGTAAAAAGGGGGGTTATTAATTTAAACTTTAGGCTTTCTATACCCACTTCCATCTTCTAGCTCTGCCTAAATTCAGTGAAACACTTCCCTTTGATTGGTATCTTAAATTTTAATCAGCACCCAATAATTATACTTCTTTCCCCTTACCCTGTAGTTTTTGTATGACAGATGTGATTATTTGTCAGATAAGGACTAGATTTTTCTTCAGTCTTGAAATAGGTGCTGCTTGCCTTACAATCCCTTTACCATGCCAAATGCATTCAAGAACCCATTACAATGTTTATTTTAATAAGTATTAAACATGCCGCTGCTCAACACAAGAGTAGCTTCTGATTCAAAAAAAGTGTTAAAAATAACAGCAAGCATAGCAAAACCATAGAATTCTGATTAACAACAAATTAAAAAGGGAAATCTAGAAAACCTAAGCTAAACTCAATTGACTGTGAAAGGGAAGAACTGAGGACTGAAACCAAAGACATTGTTAGGGAAGGATGCCAAAAAACAATTCCTGTAGCAAAAAGAAAGGTCTAGATGGATGACATAAGAAGCACTCAAAGTTGCTAAGGATAGGCAAGAAGCAAAGGGGCACAGAAATAGCATCAGAATCCTGAATAGAAAATTTTAGTGACTATCATGTAGAGACAGAAAGAATTACTACAAATGACCCATGCAATAAAATAGAAGAGAACAACAGAAGAAGTAAAACAGGAAACCTCTTCCAGAAGGTCCAAGAAATCAAAGGGAAATTCAAATTAAATTAGGAATGCTGAAAGACCAATAGGGGCACATACCATCTGACTAGGAGGAAATAAAGAGAAAGCGAAAATAATATGTCTACAAACTATACAGGAGAAACAAAGAAACCCTCTTTTAAAGAGGAATTCAGTGAGGAAGAACTTGAAATACTAGAAAGCAAAGTGAAAGCTGCTCTGAAAACACTTGGAAGGAGAGAAAAACACCCAGAGTAGATCAGGCACTGATAAAGCTTCAAAGCTACAGTAACTGAAGCAGTCCAAATCCTAAGAAAAATATGCCAACAAATATGGAAAACAAAGCAATGGCCCACACTCTGAAAACACCCAAGATACTTTCCATTTCCCAAAAAAGGAGTTGCTAAGGAGTGCAGCAGCAAAGTGATTCTGAAAGAGTTGCAACCAAGATGTGCAACTCTGTGTGGTGGTATAAATACTTGATGTTCAAGCTGGATTTGAAAAGGAAGAGGCACTCAAGATCGTACCACAAATCTGCATTGCCTATTGGAGCACACCAAAGTATTTTGGAAGAGCAGTCTGTGCTTTATAAACCTCAGCTCTTTGACTGTGTGGATCGTGAGAAGCTATGGATGGTCCTGAAAGAAATGGGTGTGCCTCAGCACTTGATTGCCCTAATGTGTAATCTCTATTCTGGACAAGAAGCTTCTGTTAGGACAGAATATGGAGAAACAGAATGGTTTCCTATTGACAAAGGTGTCTTTCATTTGTTTGTTTATTAAATTTATATGCCGCAAAATAGTCCAGCATATCTCCCAATTTGTTTACAGAACATATAAGGAAAGCTGAGTTAGGATCAGAAGAAAAAAGAGTGAAAATTGGCGGAAGACACAGTAATTGAAGATACACAGATGATTCCATGTTACTGGCGGAAAGCAGCAACAAATTGAAATGACGCCTAATAAAAGTGAAAGAAGAAAGTGCAAAAGCAGGACTGCACCTGAATATTAATTTTAAAAATCATGACTACAGTAGAATTACAGGATTTTATTTATTTATTTATTTATTTTTACTGACAGCAATGAAAAATTGAGGTTGTGAAAGATTTTGTATACCTTGGCTCAGCCATCAATTGAAATGGAGACGGTAGCCAAGAAATGCAAAGGAGAATGAGACTTGGAAGAGCAGCATTGAGGGAACTATAGAAGATAATCAAGTGTAAGGATGTTTCACTGAAAATGAAGGCCAAAACCATCCACACTCTTGTATTTCCCTTCACTATGTATGGTGTGAAATCTGGACAGTGAAGAAAGCTGACAGGAAAAAGATTGATGTGTTTGAAACCTGTGCTGGCGGGGCAGGGGGCAGGGTGGCTTTGTGAATACCCTGGACTGGAAGAGGCAAACAAATGGGCCTTAGATCAGATCAATCCAGATCTTGGCCTGAAATCAAAAATACGAAACTGGAGCCTTCAAGCTTCAGGCACATCCTGAGGAGGCAAGTCTTGTTGAAGAAAACAATAAAATGCTAGGAAAATTGAATACAGAAGAAAGGAGGACCAACTGTGAGATGGATTGACTCCATAAAGGAAGCCACAGCTTTGAAATTACAAGAGCTGAACTGTGCTGACAAGGACAGGACCTTTTGGAAGATGTTCATAAGTTAGAGATGACTTGACAACATGTAACAACAACAAAAGGCCTAATGCGGGAGGGAAGGTTTTTATTCATTATTGATTGTACGATTGATTGTACCTTTCTCTGGGGAGAAAATATCAAAATTGTGGTGCCACCACAGGTAATGGCCTTGTTTCCTATTAGCATCCCTTTGAATATTTTCTGGGAAGTAATAGAGAGAGTTATTGTCTCCATGCCCTGCTTGTGAGCTGGTTACAGGATGATGAGCCTTTCGTTCTGTCCACCCGCAACCTAAACATAGGATCAGATCCTGGACTGAGAACAAAAATTTTCCATGATCTGGGATCCCAGGCTCTCATCCTTAGAAGAAGAGGCTCTGGAGTGATCTTACAGAAATGGCAAGGACCAAGGGAGGTAACAAGAACACTCCGTTTCTGAGGATACCAGCCCTGAAGACATCAGTACACCATAGCCACCCTGTGCTGTTGTAACACAAGGCTGCCAAAAACCCTTTGAGAGATAAGGCCTTCAGTGTGGACTCTGAGCAGATCAACCTAAAGGGAGTCAACCCCCTACTTGAAACCATTCACAATCTGGTGCTTGTTAAAGTGACAGGGAAGCTAGCCTCTTTTCCAACCTCACTCAGAGCTCTTCATGGTGGTGTTCCTACTACCCTGGGAAATGTGTTCTGGCCAAGATTTTGGTGCAGGCCAAAACTATAGTAAAGGTAAAGGTTTCCCCTTGACATTAAAGTCCAGTCATGCCTGACTCTAGGGGGCAGTGCTCATCTCCGTTTCCTAGCCGAGGGAGCCAGCGTTTGTCTGCAGACAGTCTCCGTGGTCATGTGGCCGGCATGACTAAACACCGAAGTGCACGGAACGCTGTTACCTGCCCACCGAATGGTACCTTTTTATCTACTTGCATTTGCATGCTTTCAGACTGCAAGGTTGGCAGGAGCTGAGATGGAGCAACGGGAATTCACCCCGTTGTGCAGATTCAAACCGGCAACCTTTCGAACAACCAGCCCAGCAGCACAGCGGTTTAAACCTTTAATCCAAGCCTCACAATGCCCTTGCTGGGCCACAGAGGCAAACTAGGACAGTTTTTTGTCTCTGAATGGGTGTGAAGAAGGAGCGGAGGGAGTACATGAGCCAAGGACGGACTGGCTTATTCTCATAACCACAAACAAAGGCTTGTTCTGTCTAAACTAGGCCTAATATTCTTTTCTGTCTTTTCCCGTTGCTCCCAAATAGAGGGGATGAAAGGGGAAATCTTTTAAGAAGAAGGTTCACTAAGTAATGCTGTACCAGTTTAATTAGAATGGACAGTCGACAAAGATGGCTGCTGGGACATGCAAGAGCTGTAGATTCTCCCTAAGGCGGTCAGAGATATTTTTATGTCTGGTACGTGGCAGACAGCACTTCAGCAGAATCTGTAACTAACTTATAGTTTATAGTTAGTTGGCGACTGGAGGTAAGTGTGAAGTGTGCTTTTTAAAATTAGCATCCTAGTTGTGTAGTTATGGCACATTTAAAATAGTGTGATCCTCCAGCTTTTCAGAACTAATTTTTAAAGCTCATTTTTACAAACATAATAAGAGCCACATTGGATTCGTCTAAAGATCAGTCTAGTCCAGGGTTTTGGGTGGCCAAGCAGATGCTGATCGAGAGTGTAAACCACACCCAGGTTTTGCAGCAACTAGTACATGAGACACACTGCCTCGTACACTGCTAATATCCAGCTTAATATGACTACAAGCTCTTCATAGTCCTCCCTTCCCTGAAGCTTAAGGGAAGCAGCAATGTATTTTTATGGTTATTTTACCATAAAAATATATATTGTACCTGCTGTGAAACAACATTTTTATTAAGCTGTGTTTAACAGTTTAATGCAGGCCACATAGAGTCCCAGATAAGGGGGAGATGTGTCAGTGTAATAGCAATGCCCATCACTTTGCATATGTGCAAATTATACTGCACTTTTCAGGCAAACTATAGACGGGAGCTAATGGATTTTCAGTGTAAGCTTCTCTGCATTGTTCCTGTAGCACTGCATGCTTCCTGGAATCAGGAACAGCCATACATTTTTCTTCAGCCTATTCTAGTTCATATCCATCTTGTGTGATTAATACCGTTCTCCTCTTAATTTTTCATGCTGCTGTGCTTGCATTGCAATCCTTTGCATATTTATTCAGAACTACAGTGGTACCTCGGCTCATGAGCGCCTCAGTTCACGACCCAATCAGGTCGCAAACAAATACTTCATAAAAATTTTGACTCAGGTTGCAAACTCCGCATTGGGTGGCAACCGCGATTGCGGCCTTCTCCTCCCCCCCCCCCGAATGGAGAGATGGGCGCGATTGTGCTGGGGGCGGGGAGGGGAGATGGTCAGATCACGCCCGTCTTTCCTGCAGGAACGCAACTGCAATCTCGGCCATCTCTTGCCCCCCCAGCACGATCGCGCCCATCTCCCCCCCCCGGCACACCAGGATGACGGGCGCAATCGTGGTCATGCTGTGGGAGGTGGGGAGATTGCTGCGCTTGTGCTCGGGGTGAAGGGGGGAGATGGCCACGGTCTTTGTTGTTCTTTGTGTCACTTTGCTTCGCATTTTTCTGATTAAAAAAAAAATAGTTACAGAACGGATTAACTTTAT